TTTGACAGGTTCAATGTTCCCTATGGATAACAAAAACTTTTAATTTTCATTCTTTTTGGAAAGTTTTGATAAAAAGTAGACATTTTGAGAGAAAAAAAAAATACAAAATTTGATGTATTACAATACTTAATTTTCTTTCATTTTATAAATGGTTTGTAAGATAATAGACTCATTGTTTTGTCGAACACTCACACCTCTAGACTGATCACACCCATATGTGAATAGATGTACCGCTTCTCTCAACAGATTCTTCATCCGAACAGTAGCATCTCGTAGAAGTAAAAAGGGCACAATAAGTATTTATTGAAATATTAAGGGCAAAATAGGTAGGCAAAAATTCTCCTCCACCCGATTGCTGTGACTACAATGTTCCTATTCATTGACTAAAATAAGTTTTAATACCAGAGTGGGACTGCCAATGAACTCCACTTGGGAGTAGTAGCAGTATGTTCAGTCAAAATAAGAGAAGTGAGTCGTGAATGATGAGTCTTCCTTTCCTTCTCATGTTTTTTCTAATTGCTAACTGAGATGCGTAAGACATTAAAGAGTAGGATATGCGACGGAGATTAGGATGAGTTTTGCTGAATCAAACTGGGTAGAAATTCTCATAGGTGAATTCAATCAAAGCGATTTTAAGACAACACACACAAAGAAAAAAAACAAGACTCCAGTGGTTAGTCAAAGGACAAAATCTTCAATATACATATCGAAAATGAGTTTTAGGCGAAAGAAAAAAATACATGATTTTCTTTCCTTTTATAATAATTTGTACCTATACGCGAATGAATGCATCACTTCGTCTTAACAATCGTCTCTTGTGGAAGTTTGAAAGGTAAATTGGATATATATTAAAAAGTTGAGGGCAAAATGGAGAGGTAAAAATTTCCCTCCATAGCCTCATTATTTATGCTAATTTACCTACTAATTTTAACAAAAAAAATGAAAATTAAGCTTGGCACAAAATTAAGTTTGATTAATGTATGAAATCAACTATTAAATAACTCCGTTTAAACATACAAAATTTCAATAACAAAACTATCTCTAATGTCGCTTTTATCTTAAATCTTGTCAATTTTATATTAAATATATATTTTGTAATTAATTTGATATATGATAGTTGACGTGACAAAATCTAGAATAGCATGTCAATTAATGTGGAAGTTTGCCTAGATTAAATCTTAAAAGAGAGAAAATGTTGAAGAAGTTATCGTTCTTAAAAGGGGATTAGAGAAAAATTAACTCCATTGACAATGTAGGAATAAGACTTATAGGGCAAAATTTAGACGTTAATTACCATGTCGTTCTAGATTTTGTCATGTCAACTTTCTGTTCACAATATTAACCGACGTTTGCTCACATGATATTTTTGAAACCTTTATGAAAGATCAATGATAGTATTGAAACTTTTGAAAAGACATGATTGGTTTTTGAAACAAAAGCAATATTCAGGAATATTCTTTCTAATTTAGCCTGTATTAGATTGTCACATTACCTATGAATATAAAATCAAATCAGTTTTTTTTTTCAAGTTCAAGAACAAAAAAATGAAATAAAGTTAGAAAGTTTTATGATCTAAAATAAACATTCAAAGTCCCTGTCAAAACAAAATAACTCTAAAAGTGGAAAATAAAATTCAATCCAATAATTATCAAGTCTTTGATTTTCAATTTTTTTACTTTGGTACTTGATTTTTATTTTTTAGATTGACAACCCATAAGCAAATAAGTCTTTAGACTAGTATTATTATTATATTTTAATTGGAAAATTGAATAAAGTTTAAAAAATAATATATGGTTTCGTAGAGACTAAACATTTCAATGATTGGTTGAGTATATAATTTTTCCAAAAGTCATATGGGCGGTGCTAAGGATTGGAAAGCAACGTTTTTTTTTTCTTTTCATCTAATAAGTTATTTTCATTAAAGAAAATGGTTTAATCTTTGACATTAAGGGGCTATTTGAAACAATATTTTAAAACTTTATAGTTTTATTTTATACTGTTTAAAAAACAAGTTTAAATGAATTGTAGGTCAATAATTAAAAGATTTTAGAAACTAAAATATAGTTTTTGACTTATATAAAATTTTCTTTTATAAGAATAAATTCTTTTAAAAACTTTGATTGTGAATTTGAGGCTTTCCATATGTTAATTTTCAATTGAATTTAAATTTGAGTGTGATAGATTGGGAAGTATATATATTTTAATATAACAAATTGGAGTATGAGAGTTCGAACCTCCACCCTTAAAGGAAAATGAATATATATCAAATGTTGTTGAAGTATAATTGTAAAAAAGAAAAAAAAAATATATATATATATAATGAAAATAGTAAATTTTTAAGGAATGATTTTATAAAATTAAAAGACAAAATAGAAACATGACAAAAAAAAGAAAAAAAACAACAAAATGATAACATAAATTTTCTCCACTCCAACATAGTTTTTATTTCCTCTATAATTAGTATTTAATTAATTGAAATGAACCAAAATAAAATAAAATAATACAATAAATGAACTTAAAAAATATAAGGTTAAAACGGAGATAACAATTTCTTCATTATAGCTCATTTTACGTGCAATGCAAATTTTATAAAAATAAGAAGGAAGATGATTTGTGTAGTTAAACTAAATTAAAATTTCTGAAATTATATGAGCCAAATTTCCTAATTGTTGTTTTGAAGTAATGTTAATTAATTAATTTATTTTTTCTGTTGGACTAAATTGTTGGATTTATTTTTAAGTTTGAACTTTGAACATGTCATGCTTTGTTATTAAACATTTATTTAACAATTACTATTTCTATATAATATTAGCATGTGGTATTTTAATTGAATTAAAATTATCAATGGATGAAGCTGTGACGAAGGGAAGAGTAATTTTTTTTATTGTAAACATAAAATATAGTATATAATATACTGGCCAAAATGATGTAAATTTAAAATATTATTCTTTTGGAAAAAAGAAAAAAGAAGTAAAATCTTATTCTATTTTCTCGTATGACTGACAGGAAAAAAAATAGTATATTAATTAATAGTAATGGACGGCGGTGATGCGAATCTAGTGCACTAACCTGACAAGTTCAAGTACTGTGTGTACGGTTGAGATTAGGCCACTAAGTGATATAGATAATTTAAATAGTTGGCTCGAAATTTAAGGTGTCATTTAGTAATCTTTTTGTCTAATTTGTTCTCTTTTTTTAACAAATAAATGTAGGGTACGAACTACAAAGATTTAAACACAATCTCAAATAAATGAGTAGATTTTAATTACCACTTAATCATATTCATATTGAGTTTCTTGTTTACTGGTTGCTTTTACCACCCATTGAGACATGTTTTTTTTTTCTTTTTTTGAAAAAGACTTCTAATAATGAAATTAAGTTGTCATAAGGCTACAGTGTTTAGTCCATCATCTCCAACACTCACGAATGAAGGAAAACTTGATAGCCACAAATACACTTGTCCCATTCTAAGAGTTTTTTCTTGCCAAGGAGTGAGCACCTTCGTTTGATTCCCTATAGACATGGTGAAAAGAGACCTTAGACGTGGGTGACCGATCAAGAAGGACGACAGTTGAGGTGGTAAGAACGCGCCTTTTTGTACGAGGTCTTGAAGGTGGGGTACACCTTCGACAATTAGTAGGTGGCGCCTCCATCTGCAGACTTGCGGCATGCAGTATGTGAGCGGTAGGTCGCAGTGCTCGGCGTCTTTGTCGTAAGTAGAGGTGGCGACGCACTCGCCTGCCCGTGCAGCGTATGGTATATAACCGTCTGTGGTCCCGCACCTTGCTGTCATCCCCACAACCGGATGCGTGTCTTAGTCGGATTTACCCTCAACATACTTGAAGATAAGATTATGAATAATTCGAATTAATCCGATCCAAATATTTTATAAATGAGATTTTTTTAAAAAAAAAATTGTATATGTATAGTTGGGGTGGATTGAGTCTATGATATGGGTATAGGTTGTTTGGGTGGAAGATTTATTTTTTTAATCGGTGAACTCTTAAACATTGAAACTTATTTTGTACTAAAAAAGTATTTAAACTTATTTCCTCAAAAAAAAAAAAACAACTTTAAGTTAAGTTTAGGTTTTCATCTGACAATGATATCGAAGAAGCGTCAGAATCAGAGAAGGAAAAAGGAAAAAAGAAAAAAGAGAAAAAAAAGACAAGGGAATTGAATCATATCATCCGCCATTGGCACCGCTCAAATTTGGTAGAAAGGCAATGTGTATTGAAGGCAATTCAATTTCTTCACTCATTTCTTTCCTTTGCAGCGCTAGAATTCGGAAGAAAGGTACGGACGATTTAATAATTCTCTCTCTCTCTCTCTCTCTCTCTCTCTCTTTCTTTCTTATAGCATCATTCACTGAGTACTTGAGAAGGTAAGAGTTATTGCAAGTTCGAAGATTGATGAAATAATACAGTGATGATATGATATCCAGCTTGTTGATTCATATAAACAGATAAATCCCCTAGTTTTCTGTACATGAATATTATATTATAGTGGTTCTAGTAGCTAGAAAAATCATTTGTCACACAAGGTGTTTGTTGTTTTGCCTGAATGAGCAGGACACCGGAAAAAAAAACATAAGCACACACATCAAACATA